TATTCCTAATATGTGTTTTCTCTTGGACATGCCTGTTGGTGTATGATCTGCATTTTGTGTGTGTATTCATATGCACATAACCGCACTTACTTTCTTTCTTCCTGAAATATTTTTGGCACAAATTCCACATTTTTTTGTTCGCTCTGTAAATATATACATAAAAAAGTGTTTATTTTTCTTTTTTTGCTTATTTAAGGGAAACGTTACAATTTTGGACCACTTTCCCAATTTCTGGTTTCATGGATTGATGAATGGAAAAAACTGTTGAGTGCACGCATGCACATTACTTTATAGATTTTCATTGATTTATTTTCAACAGTGGCCTGTTACTTTACTTTTTTGAATAACAATGGAGGATCTGATTATCCAGTCAGTATCCTTCAACAACAGTTTTGATGAGCAAGAAATATGGCAAGGGTCCAAATTTCTGAACTTTTAAATATATAATAATACCCATTTCCATCAATAAGGCACATACCTAAAGATTGAAACAAAAGTGAGGCCAGGCGCATTCTTTCTTGTTGTATTACAGGGCACTGGAAGGAGGTAATTAAGTCACCAGCCTTCATAAATTCAGTGGCAAACTTAAATGAAGACAAACATTTTAAAAGAATAAAAGCAAGAAAGATATTTGTCACTAAATATAGAATCTGACAATTATTGGCACTTTAATATAACCATGTACAAGGGAAGATTTTGTATGATAAAAGTTAAAATTCAATTGGTTAAAACACATGCATGCAATGATCTACCCTTGGTAACTTACTGCAAGTGTGTGGATACCACATGAGACTGAATCAGTTTGCAAATTGTGTTTTGTGGTTTTGAGGTCCCACTCTCCTTTCACTCCCCTTGAAGCTGCAAATGCACTGTAATCAACAAAATCACAATTGCCACTAGCATACAAGTCCAACAATTCATTTTAAAATAAACATTTTGTCATTATCTACTCATATCCATGTCAGTTAAACCTCTATTTCAGTTTTTGTGTCCTAATAACAAAGATACAGCTTAAGCTACAGTGAGGAGTACTTGTGCTAGTCACGTGAACATACAGTATACAGTCCCACTGTTGCACAGTTAGAGTTGTGAATGTGAAGCATTTGGTTAGAAATCAGGTCAGCTGGAAAATTACTTAATGAGGTAATATAGTGATACTAGCAGGTACTGCCATTTTACATAAATTGGCACTTAAAGTAGACCTTTAGCCAATTACATGACTGATATCACTATTGTAAACAAAACAATGAATACTTACCACCAGTGTTGAGCAATTGCTTGGCATTGCCACTCCGTCTCTCCAAGAGAGTTAAAATAGGTGATGCACCTTCTGTCAACATTGCAATGCTAAAACAGAAATATTTGAAGTTATAATAACCATAAGACAATTATTGCAATACCATTCACTCTGCCTTCTGGCCAAACATGCAGTCCCGACATGCTCAAAGTTCCATGCTCAAACATGTCATACCAGCAGCAAATTGCACCAGTTTACATGATCCTGACACCTTAAGCAGAGGTCTCCAACGTCAGTCCTGGAGGGCCGCTGTCCAGCAAAGTTTAGCTCAAACCCCAATTAAACACACAAGATCCTGCTAATTAAGGTCTCACTAGGCATACAAGAAACTTTTAAGCAGGTGTGTTGGAACTAAACTCAGCAGGACAGTGGCCCTCCCAGACCGGGTTTGAAGACCCCTGCCTTAGAGTTTGAAGTCAAGGGGGGCTAAACTAGTAAAAATTTAAAAAGTAATTTTTATTACTAGGAGCTCCAGGAACATTTAAGGGGAAAAAAAGGATTCATGTGATACAGCTTATAATAATGTCAAACATTTTATTTATTTATTTGTTTTGTATTTTGCCTTGAAAGTTTAGAAATATGTAGGGCATAAATATACCCGAATTATGTTGCACATTATGTCTATGCTAGCAGAGGTAGACATATCTATTCAAATGAGAGATCCTTAAGGGGGCTATATGTAAATTTTTAGGCAAGATTAAAATAGAATCCACATACGAAAATGTTTTATCCTTAAAAAGGTTTGACTCACAAAAAAGCTCCAGTGATTGCCACTCTCGAGATACATGCCAAACACCTCTGTTGCCCTTTCCAAAATGTTATTCTGTAGATTCAGAGAAACAAAAGAGATAACTTAGTGCATATAACAATCATCTATATGAATCATGAATGCTTAATTAAGCTTGCTGAAGCCTAGAAGCTATTCATTAATATAATACCTAAAAAAAAAAAAAGATCAGTGGCATACCTTGAGAAAATAGTGGCTCTTTGCCCTTTTAGATCCATCCAGTATTTTTGTGAGTGCCTGACAATTTATAACACCTGGGCGATCCTGGTTTAAGGTAGAAGAACAAAATATTGCTTTCCATTTCAGAGAAATAAACATGTTTCAAATCAAGCCTAACTGTACAGTTTAAAAATTACATTCTTTTGTGTATCATTAATATTTATTTTATTCTTATTATCATTGTTTATGTGTACTCTTCAAGATATTGCTGATAAAATTACACTTACCTTGCTAAGGATATCACATATAGAATTCATGACCTGAATATTTCAAGGACAAATGTGAGATACAAATAAATAAATAAAATAAAATTAACTGCTCTATTTTTTTTGTCACACAGAAATGTTGTGAATCATCTATCACCAGTCCTTTTTTATTCTCTTTTAACTATGTAGAAACCTGGCAAGCAAATAAATATTGTAAAAAATATTTGTGAAAAACATGCAGAACAAAATTCAAGAAGTAGGCCATGGTGGTAGGATAAGTAGACAGAAAATAAGTGTAAGAATTTACATGGCTCACTATAAGGATAATAATTTACCTCGTCAGAAACCTGGTTGTCCCTCATTAAAGTGTTCAAACTGTTCACTTGAATGTCATATGGCCCCACACTTCCTAATGTGAATGTTGGGCTCTTGTTTTGGAGACACCTTAATGCCTGATCTACGTAGATGAATAATAATTCATAAATGACACCTTTTGCAGCCACATTGATTTTCATTAACAATAAAAATGGAAAATGCAGATTTGAAAACATTGCAAAGGCATGTTTATAACAACATGGTGTGAAATAAGTTGCTTCTCATTTAGCTTACGGAGAAGCAACCCATCCCCCCAACCATCAGCAAGGTATATACTGAGGAAACGAAACATTGCTAAATTACATTAAATGCAGTGAAATCATACCTTCCATTGTGTGCTCTTGGTCACTTGGCCACTTGGTGCCCTTTAAATACAGAAGTAACAGACAGTTTGTTTACTGATAGATCTACTCTGAAGTCATTACATAACCACGAGGAAAAGCATTTTTGAGCACACTGTATTATCTGGAATTCTGGATTCCGAGATGTTACAATGAACTGCACAAGAGTTGGAAAACATTTAAGTGTTCCAGATTACTGACATTCATGTTTTGAAATTGATATGTAACAGAATAAGTCAGTGATGACTTGAGGTCATCATATTCATACGTAACAGAATAAATCAGTTATGACTTGAGGTCATCATATTCATATGTAACAGAATAAATCAGTGATGACTTGAGGTCATCATATTCATATGTAACAGAATAAAACAATTGAAGACTTGAGGTCATCATATTCATATGTAACAGAATAAGTCAGTGATGACTTGAGGTCATCATATTCATACGTAACAGAATAAATCAGTTATGACTTGAGGTCATCATATTCATATGTAACAGAATAAATCAGTGATGACTTGAGGTCATCATATTCATATGTAACAGAATAAAACAATTGAAGACTTGAGGTCATCATATTCATATGTAACAGAATAAGTCAGTGATGACTTGAGGTCATCATATGCATGTGTAACAAAATAAATCAGTGATGACTTGAGGTCATCATATTCATGTGTAACAGAATAAATCAGTGATGACTTGAGGTCGTCATATTCATATGTAACAGAATAAGTCAGTGATGACTTGGTCAACATAATCATATGCAACAGAATAAGTCAGTGATGACTTAAGGCCATCATATTCATATGTAACAGAATAAAACAATTGATGACTTGAGGTCATCATATTCATATGTAACAAAATAAATCAGTGATGACTTGGGGTCAACATATTCATATGTAACAGAATAAATGAGTGATGACTTGAGGTCGTCATATTCATATGTAACAGAATAAATCAGTGATGTCTTGAGGTCGTCATATTCATATGTAACAGAATAAATCAGTGATGACTTGAGGTTGTCATATTCATGTGTAACAGAATAAATCAGTGATGACTTGAGGTCATCATATTCATGTGTAACAGAATAAATCAGTGATGACTTGAGGTCATCATATTCATATGTAACAGAATAAATCAGTGATGACTTGAGGTCGTCATATTCATATGTAACAGAATAAGTCAGTGATGACTTGAGGTCATCATATTCATGTGTAACAATAAATCAGTGATGACTTGAGGTCATCCTATTCATGTGTAACAGAATAAATCAGTGATGACTTGTGGTCATCCTATTCATATGTAACAGAATAAATCAGTGATGACTTGAAGTCATCCTATTCATGTGAAACAGAATAAATCAGTGATGACTTGAGGTCATCATATTCATATGTAACAGAATAAATCAGTGATGACTTGAGGTCATCATATTCATATGTAACAGAATAAATAATCTAATTCAATCGCTTCTACCTGGATCTCGCAGCGAATCACAGTAGCGTCACAAATACTGTCTGTTGGTGGACCGAGCTGATTGGTCTGTGCGGTGCGCAAACTAGCGCTGTTTTGTTCCGCATTTCTATGGAATCATTTTTGTTTCTTTATTATTCAATCAAACATTATGTGTTTGAGAGTAAAACTAGTTATTTTGTAATTAAAAAATAAAAGATTGCAAAAAAAGTCTTAAGGCTCAAAAATAAAGAAATTGATAAAATTATTTGCAGTGCGTAAAAATCGTTGAAAATCTTTATTTTTCTTTGTGCACTTCAAACACTTTTCATCGCGATACCACAAATGTGACTCTTTTCTGCCGTCTTTTTTTGCGGGTCTAAAACTTTTGTTTGCAAGTTGAAAAGTTTTGCTTGCGAGTGAAGCTGTCTCTCAGTGGGCGGTCTCTACCCACCAGGATGAAAGGCCTTTTTCTACTGGTCACTCTCGAGTGAAGTCACAGGTTGACCACGCCCACTACGTTTCCCCGGAATCCCCGCCACTGCCACCGCAGTCTGACAGAAGAGCGAGCGAGGTTGTATCATGGCGAGCAACAGGTCGTTTACTGGGTAAGATAACTAACTTATTTTAAACACAGTGACAAGTGAACTTAATTATTATCTCCTCTCATGCTCTCCTATCTAAATACGTAACGTTAGCTAAGCCCGTTGTAGATTTGATTAGCCAACAGTATAGCTAGCTGCCAGAGCCCCCAATAGTAAAGCGTCAAGCCAATATTTTCAGAGATTATAGCTCCAGTGAAGTAAGGTGAGTAACACACATCAAATCACTAGCCCATTTGGCGGGTTATGATTCATAAATTATGACCACATGAACACTCAACTCATTCGCGGCACTCAACAGCTGTAGTTTGCCATTCAACGTTTTCTAAAATACGATTTGGGACCGATGTCTGTACATTCTAACTTCACCCTAGTCTACAAGACTGTATTGTGTATTTTAATAACAGGTTTGTTTTGTACTATCTAAGACCTATGCAATGACAATTGCAAAACTTGTTACTTCAATAGTAAGGATTGATATTCAGGACTTGTCAGCCAGTACCACTGTAACCTTGCAGATACTTTGCTTTGAAGACCTTTTAATTAACTAACTTCCGCACATTTCAATATGCCCCTGACTTCTAAGGGGTGTTTTTATTTGTGACTACTCCAAACAGCCAAGAATTCTATCAGTAGAACATCACATTTTTCTTTTCTGTTTGCAGGAAGAAGATTTGGTGTTGATGGAGGAGGCAACATCTTAAAGGCAAAACCTTAGACCTCATTCAACATCATCCAATGTTGCAATCACCCTCAGGAGGTACACAAGCAAAAGCCAAATTGAACATTGTCAATTACTGTCAATTCCTATTTTACAAAATTTGCCCTGGATACATTTTTGTCTTTAATGTGTAGGCACTTGAAGACCAGTGTCCAATATGTACATTTCCAGTGTCAGAAGTAGAGCTGCCATGCCAGCTTTTGTGGAGAAAGGTAATGGTAACAGTGACTCACATTGAAGCTTAAAAACACCTAAAAGATGCTCTGATTTGGATCATATCTCATGGTAACCTACCTGACTATGTTCATTGCATTGGTTCAAAACAGTACATTGCAAAGGTCATAAAAAGATCATACAAAATATATATATATATACATATACAGTGGGGAAAAAAAGTATTTAGTCAGCCACCAATTGTGCAAGTTCTCCCACTTAAAAAGATGAGAGAGGCCTGTAATTTTCATCATAGGTATACCTCAACTATGAGAGACAAAATGAGAAAACAAATCCAGAAAATCACATTGTAGGATTTTTAAAGAATTTATTTGCAAATTATGGTGGAAAATAAGTATTTGGTCAATAACAAAATTTACCATTAATACAGGTAACGTGTGGAGGACAGAGGAGCCTCTTAAAGAAGTTGTTACAGGTCTGTGAGAGCCAGAAATCTTGCTTGTTTGTAGGTGACCAAATACTTATTTTACCGAGGAATTTACCAATTAATTCTTTAAAAATCCTACAATGTGATTTTCTGGATTTTTTTTCTAATTTTGTCTCTCATAGTTGAGGTATACCTATGATGAAAATTACAGGCCTCTCTCATCTTTTTAAGTGGGAGAACTTGCACAATTGGTGGCTGACTAAATACTTTTTTGCCCCACTGTATACACACACAAAGTTGTTTGGAAACATTACATTTTTTAAAAATGTTTTTTTTGACATAAGTCTCTTCTGCTTATCAAAGCTGCATTAATTTGATCAAATGTACAGTAAAAACAGTATTATTGTGAAATATTATTACATAACTGTTTTCTATTCAAATGCATGTTAGAAATGTAATTTATTCTTGTGATCAAAGCTGAATTTTCAGCATCATTACTCCAGTCTTCAGTGTCACATGATCTTCAGAAATCATTCTAATATGCTGATTTGCTGCTCAAGAAACATGTATTATTGTCAATGTTGAAAAAACTTTTTTTTTAAATTCTTTGATGAATAGAAATGTATGACGTAAACTTCATAAAATTGTTTATAACAGTATAAATGTCTTTACTGTCACTTTTGATCAATTTAATGCATCCTTGCTGAATAAAAGTATTAATTTATTTAATTTCTTTCCCCCAAAAAAAGTCTTACTGACCCCAGACTTTTGAATAATAGTGTATATTATTACAAAATGTTTCGATTTCAGATAAATGCTGTTTGTTTGAACTTTCTACTCATCAAAGAATCCTGAAAACAAAATGTACACAACTGTTTTCAACATCGATAATAATGTTTGTTGAGCAAAAAAATAAGCATATTGTTGTGACATTTAAGACTGGAGGAATGATGCTGAAAAATTTTGCTTTATTGTTTTTATATACATATGTAATTTTATTTATGTATTTTTACAGTGAGGAGGATGCGATTCGTCATGCAGCAGCACAGACAATCTGTCACGAGATAACATGTCTAAAGTTGTGGAAACGTCAAAAAACAGGAAGCCCTGTCAATCCCTTGAAAATCACCTTCCTTGGAGAGTCTGTAAAAATAAATAAATAAAATTATATGTATATAAAGCTTAAAACAATAAAGCAAAATGTTTAGCATCAGTACTCCATTCTTAAGTGTCCCTTTTAGATGTTTTTAAAGTTTTTTTTAGGTGTTTTTAAGCTTCAATGTGAGTCACTGTTACCATTACCTTTCTCCACAAAAGCTGGCATGGCAGTTCTACTTCTGACACTGGAAATGTTCCTGTGCATATTGGACACTGGTCTTCAAGTGCCTACACATTAAAGACAAAAATGTATGCAGGGCAAATTTTGTAAAATAGGAATTGACAATAATTGACCATGTTCAATTTGGCTTTTGCTTGTGTACCTCCTGAGGGTGATTGCAACATTGGATGATGTTGAATGAGGTCTAAGGTTTTGCCTTGAAGATGTTGCCTCCTCCATCAACACCAAATCTTCTTCCTGCAAACAGAAAAGAATTTGCTTTCTTGGCTGTTTGGAGTAGTCACAAATAAAAACACCCCTTAGAAGTCAGGGGCATATTGAAATGTGGAAGTTAGTAAATTTAAAGGTCTTCAAAGCAAAGTCTGCAAGGTTACAGTGGTACTGGCTGACAAATCCTGAATATCAATCCTTACTATTGAAGTAACAAGTTTTGCAATTGTCATTGCATAGGTCTTAGATAGTACAAAACAAACCGGTTATTAAAATACACAATACACAGTCTTGTAGACTAGGTTGAAGTCATAATGTACAGACATCGGTCCCAAATTGTATTTTAGAAAACTTTGAATGGCAAACTACAGCTGTTGGGTGCCGCGAATTACAGAATTATATTTTTTTTATTTAGTGGCGGAAACGGGCTTCCATAACAACGGGCTTAGCTAACGTTACGTATTTAGATAGGAGAGCATGAGAGGAGATAATAATTAAATTCACTTGTCACTATGTTTAAGATGTTAAGTTAGTTATCTTACCCAGTAAACGACCTGTTGCTCGCCATGATACAACCTCGCTCGCTCTTCTGTCAGACTGCGGTGGCAGTGGCGGGGATTCCGGGGAAACGTAGTGGGCGTGGTCAACCTGTGACTTCACTCAAGAGTGACCAACAGAAAAAGGCCTTTCATCCTGGTGGGTAGAGACCGCCCACTGAGAGACAGCTTCACTCGCAAGCAAAACTTTTCAACTTGCAAACAAAAGTTTTAGACGCAAAAAAAGACTGCAGAAAAGAGTCACATTTGTGGTACCGCGATGAAAAGTGTTTGAAGTGCACAAAGAAAAATAAAGATTTTCAAAGATTTATACACACTGCAAATAATTTAATCAATTTCTTTATTTTTGAGCCTTAAGAAGACTTTTTTTTTGCAATCTTTTAATTTTTAATTAACTAGTTTACTCTCAAACACAATGTTTGATTGAATAATAAAGAAACAAAAATTATTCCATACATTTCGGGCGTTTGTCTTTGAATGCAACTGGACGCGACAACAACAGATGCAACAGAAATCGGCAGCGGCACAGTAACTTATATGCTAACGACAGAAATATTAGGAAAATTTGCGGTGGCAGCAGTGCGAGCGCTAATAAACCGGCAGAAAACAAGCTCGCAAAAGGCCACTATAATCGCAGCCCTTTTATAGCTAACGATAGGCACACTATAAAAAATCAATTTCAAATACTTATTAGATTGTTTTAACTGGAGCCATAAAGTTTACAGTAGCCTACATCCGTCTAGACTGGTAGGAACAGCTATTTAGGCTAACTTGCCAATGCAAACTAGTGTTAAAACTTCGGTGCTAGAAAAAAACACAAATCTAAAAACAACTATGAATGTTACTATCATGAATATACTGATATAAATTGATAAGAGAAATAAAAAAGCTATGGTCTTTTCCTTTTTTACATGCGCTATTCACTGGTACAACGGTGCGGTGCACACCACAGTTTTTTGTTGTTTTTTTATTTGCGAAAGGGGCTTAACTGTTTTTTTTGGCAGACTCTGCAGGGGGGCACGTAGTGATGGCGTCATACATTTTGATTGGCTGAGGCAGTTGTTGTCCCAGGGTCATAAAAAAAATATTGGTCTCAGGACAACTAGGACTTGGCAAAATCAGGATGTGCTATATTTATATAGCGCTTTTAACAATACAGATTGTGTCAAAGCAAATGTACAGCATTAATTAGGAAAATAGTTTGTAATTAATGCAAAATTACAGTGGTAAACACTATTTTCAGTTAAAGGCAGTTCAGTGATGTCATCATCCAGCTCAGTTCAGTTTAAATAGTATCTGTGCAATCGGCAACGACATCGCTGGAAATTAAGTGTCCCCAACTAAGCAAGCCAGGGGCGACAGCGGCAAGGATCCAAAACTCTATCAGTGACAAAATGGAGAAAAAACCTTGGCAGAAGCCAGGTTCTGTCGGGGGGCAGTTCTCCTCTGGCCAGACAATACCAGCAGTTCAAATCCAGGCTGCAGCAAAGTCACATTGAGCAGACGACTCATCTGGTTCCTGTGGTCTTGTCCCGGTGGCAGTCTAGGAGACAAGGTCTTTACTGGGGATCTGTCTCTGGGGCTCATCTAGTTGTCCTGGTCTCCGCTGACATTCAGGGCTGTAGAGGTCATCTCTAGGTGCTGATCCACCATCTGGGCTGGATATGTACTAGATCCGGGTGACTGCAGTGACCATCTGATCTGGATACAGACTGGATCTGGTGGCTACGTTGACCTCGGAATAAGAAAGAAACAGACTAATATCAGCGTAGATGCCATTCTTCTAACGATGTAGCAAGTACATTGGGTGTTATGGGAAGTGTTCCCGGTTCCGGTTGTCCCAATTAATGCAGCCTAACGGATTTGAATATTAGAAATGTGTTCGTGTGTTATGTGTAAGGTTAAAGAGATAGGTCTTTAATCTAGATTTAAACCGACAGAGTGTGTCTGCCTCCCGAACAATGTTAGGTAGATTATTCCAGAGTTTGGGCGCTAAATAGGAAAAGGATCTGCCGCACGCAGTTGATTTTGATATTCTAGGTATTATCAAATTGACAGAGTTTTGGATGTGGAGCGGACGTGGAGGACTATAATGCAATAAGAGCTCATTGAAATATTGAGGTGCTAAACCATTCAGGGCTTTATAAGTAATAAGCAAGATTTTAAAATCTATACAATGTTTAATTGGGAGCCAGTGCAATGTTGACTGAACCGGGCTAATATGATCTTACTGATACTTCCTGGTTCTACTAAGAACTCTGGCTGCTGCATTTTGGACTAGCTGGAGTTTGTTTATTAAGCATGCAGAACAATAAACAACACCCAATAAAGCATTACAATAATATAACCTTGAGGTCATGAACGCATGAATTAACGTTTGTGCATTTGACATTGAGAGCATAGGTAGTAATTTAGATATATTTTTTGAGATGGAAAAATGCAGTTTTACAAGTACTAGAAACGTGGCTTTCAAAAGGAAAGATTGCTATCAAATAGCACACCTAGGATCCTAACTGATGACGAAGAATTGACAGAGCAGCCATCAAGTGTTAGACAGTGTTCTAGGTTTATTACGTGCAGAGTTTTAGGTCCTATAATTAACACCTCTGTTTTTTCAGAATTTAGCAGTAAGAAATTACTCGTCATCCATTTTTTTATTTCGACTATATATTCCGTTAGTTTTTCAAATTGGTATGTTTCGCCGGGCCGTGAAGAAATATAGAGCTGAGTATCATCAGCATAACAGTGAAAGCTAACACAGTCTTTCCTGATGATATCTCCCAAGGGTAACATGTAAAGCGTAAAAAGTAACGGCCCTAGTACTGAGCCTTGAGGTACTCCATACTGCACTTGTGATCAATATGATACCTCTTCATTCACTGCTACGAATTGATGGTGGTCAGATAAGTACGATTTGAACCATATGCTAATGCACTTCCATTAATGCCAACAAAGTTTTCTAGTCTTTTCAAAAGAATGTCATGGTCAATAGTGTCGAACGCAGCGCTAAGATCCAGTAGCACTAATTGAGAGATACAACCATGATCAGATGATAAGAGCAGGTCATTTGTAACTGTAAAGAGAGCAATTATAGTTAATTACTTACTAAAATAAGGGTTTTACACTCTCTTGTAAAAAAACAAAAAAAACAACAAAAAACAGTCAAATTACTTGCAGCAGCCAGACAAAAACCGTAAAATTTTAATAAAATATCTTAATTCAAACATGGAAGAATCCATAACAATTTTAAACTGTAAAAAAAAACAACAACTTTCAGCTAAAAAAGGTACGGCTAACAAAAAAAAACAAAAATTAAGCGCATTGCGTTAGTTCTGGCAGGTCACATGAGTCAAGCTTGCATCAGCTGACTCTCAGATGATCAATTCTACATAAGAATCAAACCAAACTGTATGCTAAGTGTCAAACATTTTGACGATAGTGGTCCTGACAGAATTAAAGTAAAATATCTTGTAAAAATTGTAATATTAAAATACAAATTAATTTTATGGGTTTTATTTGGCAGCCGTAGCTGCTAGTCATTTGACTGTTTTATTTAATTTAATTTTTATTTGATCATTATTTATTTGTATTATTATTATTATTTTATTTATTTATTTAGTTTTACTGTGTAGCACTTTTAAAGCATGGTTCTTTATGAAACCTTATGAAAAGGGTTCGAATTAAAAATAAAAAGGGTTCTGCTATTGTTACAAAGTGAAGAATGGGGTACTGTTTAGAAGGGGTGTGTTATTGTTATAAACACTTCTTCTTGGGAGTCTGGGCCACAGTGGTGTTGCTAGGTTTTCTGAGACCCCTGCACAGTATATCTTATTGTGTCACCCATATTGTGGTCCTAGTGATGCACAATAATTTATCCCCCAAGTTATTTTTGTGGGCCCCCCAACAGCTCTGGATGCCCTGTACTTTGTGTTCCACCACTAGTGACAACCTTTGCTTTCTGCTAAGATAAGAAGAATCAAACAATACACACAGCAGTGTCTTCATTCATTCAACCCGTCTTCTTTCATTTGGGAAGCACTGATATTCAATGTTTCAGTTCACCTGCCATCTGCCTGCCATCATATGCAGCCCTTTTATATTTAATTGTACCTTCTTTTCTCACAAGATTAGCTTATTCATTCTTCACATGCAGAGGCGGACAAAGTACTCAACTCCATTACTTGAGTGAAAGTACAGATACTGCTGGTCAAATATTACCCCATTACAAGTAAAAGTTGTAAAGACAGATTTTTACTTAAGTAAAAGTACAGAAGTACTTACTTTTAAAAGTACTTATGTAAATTTCCTTTTTTATGTCAATGCACGTAGTAGTACTTACAATACTTCTGAAGCAACTTAGAATACATTACACCTGCTGAATATACTGACTAACTTGTAGTATATTTGGAATAAAGAGCTTTTAGAATGTTAAAAAAAATGATTGAACACCCCTACCCAGCCCCACAAAAGCAGGATGGTAGTGATCTCACACAGCTCTCACAGTGTGTGCACACATCTATGTGTAGCCATTCATCCACATTTGAACAGAGTGGACAGTGAAATCCTGTAAATACAGAGTGATAAGGAAGAAAAAAAAAACTAACCTGCTTTAAAACCCAGCAACACAACTGTAGCTGTATAACTTTACAACAGCAACACTGCTTTAACAAAAAAGCAAAACAGCAAGACTTATTTGACATCAAAACAAACATTTTAAATGCTGTCTAATCGCTCTCGCAGTACTTTGATGTCACACACAGAACGGTCTGTGCAGTGCTGCTTCAAGTCCAACACCTATTGTGTTTTATTAGGAGATGCACAACAGTTCTTCTGTGGCTTTATAGGTAATATTTTCACCTACACAATTTAGCAAAATCAGACAATATTGTGTCTAATATATACCACAATATTAACTTCTTATTACTTAATTGTTGTAAATAAATATCACATTTGCAACTGGTCAGTGTTCAAAAAATACTGGGAAATCACTTCATGTAGCCCTACAAGAGTGATTACTGATAAACTGTCTGAAAAAAAGAAAGTCACGTTTTAGAGAAGAAAAAAAAATCACCCACTGACTTTCAAAGCTG